CTGCTGCAATAAACATTGAGGATGTCTCTTCAATGGACTGACTTCATTTCTACTGATTTTATATATATATCAAGTAGTGGGACTGCTGCATCATATGGGAGTCATACATTTTTTGAGGCACCACCATACAGTTTTCTGCAATGGCTATACTAATCTTGTCTTACAAAAGTGTGAAAGGGTTCCCTTTTTTCCACATCCTCGCTAGCCTTTGTTATCTTTTGTCTTTTTTTTTTTTTTAAAGATTTACTTGTATATTTGAAAGGCAGAATTACAGAGAGGCAGAGAGAGAGAGAGAGAGAGAGAGAGAGAGAGAGAGAGAAGACAAAGAGAGAGAGAATCTTCTACCTGCTGGTTCACTCCCCAAATGACCACAATGGCCGGAGCTGGGCTGGTCCATTCCTGGCACATCAGCAGGGAGCCAGATTGGAAGTGGAGCAGCCAGGACTGGAACCAATGCCCATTTGGGATGCCAACACTGCAGGCAGTGGCTTTACCCACTACACCACGGTGAGGGCCTCAGTATTTGTCTCTTGATAATAACCTTCTAACTGGAGAGGGGTGATATCCCATTATGGTTTGGATTTGTATTTCCCTGACAGTATGTTGATCATTTTTTTCATGTACCTGTTGGGCATTTATGTGTCTTCCTTTGAGAAATATCTGTTTACATCTACTGCCCATTTTTAATTGGATTTTTGTTGTTAATTAGCTGTTTGAGTTTCTTATATGTTCTGGATATTAATCCCTTATCAGATATTTAGTTTCTAAATATTTTCTCCAGTTCTTTAGGTTGCTTCTTTACCCTGTTGCTTGTTTCCTGAGCTGTGCAGAAGCTCTTTAATTTGATGAAATCCTGAGAGTATTTCAGGCATGGAAAGCCAAGACACTCTGGCAAAACAAACAAACAAACAAACATCTAAATGAAAGATCTCTGTGAGCGAGATCCCAGTGGAAAGAACAGGTCTTCAAAGAAGGAGGTACCTTTCTCTGAAGGGAGGAGAGAACCTCCACTTTGACTATGACCTTGTCTAAACAAGATAAGAGTCGGAGAACTCAAGGGGCTTCCATAGCCTTGGAAACTCATGACTGGAGCATGGGGAGATTACTGAGGCCATAGACAGGAGTGTCAATTTGTAAAGTCAACAACAGGAGTCACTGTGCACTTACTCCTCATGTAGGATCTCTGTCCTTAATGTGCTGTACATTGAGACTTAATGCTATAACGAGTACTCAAACAGTATATTTCACTTTGTGTTTCTATGGGGGTGCAAACTGTTGAAAGCTTTACTTAATGTATACTAAACTGATCTTCTGTAAAAAAAAAAAAAAAAAGAAGAAGAAGACGAAGAAATTATCAATTCCCAACTTGACTCTCACTGGGATTAAACATGACAATAGGTCTGATCTGATCTGATTTCATCATCATTTAAAAAATCATCTATTATTTTTCACTTTATGTTTCTGTGTGGGAGCAAACTGTTGAAATCTTTACTTAATGTATGCTAAACTGATCTTCTGTATATAAAGAGAATTGAAAATGAAAAAAAAAATTTGATGAAATCCCATTTTTGCTTTTGTTTTCTATGCTTTGGGGGTCTGATGCAAAAAATGCTTGCCCACTCCCATGTCCTGAATCTAAACAAGCCTTTTAAAACTTCACTTTAAAAATACATATAAGCAAGCCGGCGCCGTGGCTCAATAGGCTAATCCTCCACCTTGCGGCGCCGGCACACCGGGTTCTAGTCCCGGTCGGGGCGCCGGATTCTGTCCCGGTTGCCCCTCTTCCAGGCCAGCTCTCTGCTATGGCCAGGGAGTGCAGTGGAGGATGGCCCAGGTGCTTGGGCCCTGCACCCCATGGGAGACCAGGAAAAGCACCTGGATCCTGGCTCCTGCCATCGGATCAGCGCGGTGCGCCGGCTGCAGCGGCAGCCATTGGAGGGTGAACCAACGGCAAAGGAAGACCTTTCTCTCTGTCTCTCTCTCTCACTGTCCACTCTGCCTGTCAAAAAAAAAAAAAATACATATAAGCATAGTAACTGCATATGCTCACTTATAAGATATGCTTCTGGGGACGGCACTGTGGCACAGTAGGTTAATCCTCCACCTGCTGCGCCAGCATCCCATGTGGGCCCTGGTTCTAGTCCCAGCTGCTCCTTTTCCAATCCAGCTCTCTGCTGTGGCCTGGGAAAGCAGTAGAAGATGGCCCAGTTGCTTGGGTCCCTGCACCCACGTGGGAGACTGGGAGGAGGCACCTGGCTCCTGGCTTCGGATCAGCTGTTGTAGCCATTTGGGGAGTGAACCGACAGATGGAAGACCTTTCTCTGTTTCTCCCTCTCACTGTCTGTAACTCTACCTCTCAAATAAATAAATAAAAATTTTTTTTAAAAAAGATACGCTTTTAAGAACTTCCCTGATACTATATAGATGAGTATTTATATCTTGGGATAACTTTACTAGTGGCAGTATCTTTTATCTCAAGATGATAGAACCTAAATGACAGTAATCCATCAAAACTCAGGATTCTCTTTCCATAGAATAGAATTATGGCTCAGAAGTGACTACATTTCTCAAACACCCTTGCACCTGAGTAAGACCAAGGGACTAATTTCAGCCCATGCAGGGGTGGGGGACCTTTTCTATTTACCAAGGGCCATTTGAATATTTATAACATCATTCACAGGCCACACACAATTATCAACTTAAAAATCGGCCTGCTATAGACTTACTGAATTTCAAGTCCCATCTGTGGTTGCCTTGGTAGGGCCAGACAAATGATTCTGCAGATCTTATATCGGCCATGGACTAGATGGTCCCCATCCCTGCTAAGTACAGAGATGACATCTGGCCCTTTTGGGTTGAGGTGGTTAATGAGCAGTTGTTTTCTCCACCCTCTCATTCCATTCTATAAGCTGCTGCAGGTGAGCACAGCAGTCATGAAACTGTAACTCTAAGACAGGGAACCCGAGGTGCCCTGAACCACCGCACCATGGGACACTTGCACTGACTACAGCCCAGGAACACCGCACTGCCTGTTGCTCAGGAATGCTGCCCTGAATGTTACTGGAAATGCTGCACTGGATTCTTAGACAAGTGATAAATTAAGTTCTATTGGGTTAAACCTCTGAGAATTTAAGATTTGTTTGTCCAGAAACCAAATTTTCCCTTATCATTTCCTTATTAGTTTTACAGAACTCAAGACTAGATCCCATAGTGAAGACACAAGTTAAAGATGCATACCAAGAGTTTAGAAAAATAGTTTAATAAAATGTAAAAATAGTAAAAAAGCTCTTTCACCTTATTGAATTATTTTATGTAGAATATGATTCTAAATTTCTATACTTGGCTAAAGCTTAAATCTTTTAAACATATTGAGTTGCTGTATCTGCAGTCTTATTAGTTTATATATTTGAGATAGTTGAAAATCTAAAATTTCTCTCCCTCTCCTTATTTTCTCATAAGGAAAATTCGAGATCACTTTAAATGTCAAGGTGACCTAATAAGCAGACATACACAGTATTTATTAACTTGCTTCCTTCTTGTTCCTAATGTAAAAGCAATAAACTTTAACCTTTGATATTTCTCTGGAGTGCCAATTAAAAATTCCTAGTACCACAGCAAGCTGGACCTGTGCATGACCCTTGGTTAAATTTTTTCTGCATGTCAACATCACTTGGTTGAACAAGATACCTTACACTTGATTCATGACATGGCTTTACTCAAGGCAGTCAGAGAAGGTGATAAAGTGGGAGAAGATGCAGTCTATTCAGGACCACTAGGGTACAGACACCAGACAGGAGAGAGGTCCAAATTGTCAGGGGATTCTCTTGCCTTTGGGATTCAGGCTGGATTTGCCAACTGTGCACCCAGAGCTGGCCTTCCAAAGGGCAGACTTGTGCAGGGCTTGTTATTTGGGGAGGATTTTGTGTCTCATCCCCATTTTCTGCCATGTTGGCTGGTCTCCATTTTGTGGGTGCTGACTCTCCCACCTGTAGCTACCTAACAGCAAGGTGAGCCAGGGCGAAATTTTTATTCTACTTCACTATGCCTGGCATCCCATGAGAGGCTCAAGAAATCTCTACCCTTCTATAACTATACATGACTCCCTCTCCTTATAATCAATGAGGTCTCAACAAACTCAGGGACCAGAAACTTACATTCAGGACTACAAGATGTGCAAAATGAAGTACAGGGCCCCTTGATAAAAAAGTATTTAGAAATTGAAAATGGTGGCAATGGATCTTTAAAACAAGCCTGAGCTACTTTGAGCATCAGGCCCAGTTTGATGGCCCCATCAGGCTGGTCCTGTTCACAGCTGCTGTGAACACCTGGAGTGGAAAGCAAAAGACCAGAGCACTTTAAAAAGTTCACAGAATTTGGAATGAAAAGATAAGTTCATTTTTGTGCCAAACGTGTTGAAATTCATGCATACAATGGGCCTTCAAAAAATTAGTGAGAAATGCATTTTATGAGAAAACTATGAATGGATTTTAATGTTTCAGTCAGGTCTACCTAAGCCCTGGTCAGCCAGGAGGCTGACATCAGGTGGCAGAGAGGCAAACATGGGTCAGAAATTGTGCTTTAAGAATCTTCACTGGTGGATATGGATCACCAGAGCTACAGAGATATGTTAGAAGTCTTTAATTGGAAGAATATGGTTATGAGGCTACCATCAAGATAATTTGTTTTTCTCTTGGTGACTTCTATCAAACTGTGTTTTCCAAAGAACAATAAAATGTCTGCATACTTCCCAGAATCCATGGTGTTTCTAAGCAGTGTAATTGCTGTCACTTTGTATACTCTCAAGTACACTGTTTCCTAATAAGAGTCCTCGGGACAACAAAGGAAAAAGAGCCTTGACTAGCTAAGATGCTGCTACCACCATCTTCCCTCTGATAAGAAAACCAAACAGTCACCCCAGCCCTTAAGCCAAGATAACAACAGTAACTCATAACGCAAGGTCCAGGGATGCAGATTTGGAAAAGCATTTCTCAGACACGTACCCATTATCAAGGTGTAGCTCCATGAAGTGGCAAGAAGCATAGGGAGGAAGTCGGCCATTGTAGACATCTAGCGCCATCTGTAGGCCACTCACAGTAGTGTCATGCTGCAGAGATTTGAAGCAAATTATTATCTTTTACCTCTGGTTCAGCTTCCCATTCAACAAATATTAAGCACTTGTAAAGCAGCTTCTGACTCAATTAATTTTCCCATACACTCAGTGAGTTCATGAGTAGAGAGTGAAAGAACTAATTTTGGTTAAGCATCTGCTGTGTGCTAGGCAACGAGAGTTACATGCACATCATTTTTCACATTTAAAAGATGAAGGGGGCAGGCACTGTGGTGCAGCAGTTAACACTACCACTTAGGATGCCCACATCCCATATCAGAGTGCTAGTATGAGTCCTGGTTATTCTATTTTCCAACCAGCTTCCTGTTAATGTGCCTGGGAGACACCAGATGATGGCCAAGTACTTGGGTCCCTGCCATCTACGTGGGAGACTTGGGTGGAGTTAGGAGGTTTTGGCTTCAGCTTCACCCAGCCCTGAATGTTATGGGCATTAGAGGTATGACCAGTGGATGGGAGATTCTCTCTCACCCCCACCCCTGCCTTGATACCCAGAGATATTAAGTAATGTTCTTGTTGTCATATAAATCTCAAATGGAAGAACATGAATTTGAATCAATCTTATGATTTTAAATACTGTGGCTTTTCTCATTATAGCATCTTTTCAGTTTGTTTCATTGATTTTCATCAAATTTTAAAATATTTTGGAATATATTAATGCTAGATTATATTTTCCTATAAAAGAGTATCATCTGTGATCTTAAAGTTGTGGGGGGCACATGAAGTTATATTCAAGAAGGATAAAATGTAAAGAAGTAGAGAGTATAGCATATAAATAATTGTAAAGTTAAATGTTTGCCTCAGAGTGGCTAGAAGGTATATGTAGAATTGTTTTCAGCTCCAGTCTTACCACTGATTATATAATTTGAATCATCTGACTTCCATATTCAAAAATAGGCATTCTGGGGCCGGTGCAGTGATGCAGTAGGTGTAAGGCCCAGCTTGTAGGGCTGATATCCCATATGTGTGCCGGTTTGAGTATTGGCAGCTCCACTTCTGATTCAGCTCCCTGCTAATGTGCTTGGGAAAGCAGTAGAGGATGGCCCAAGTCTTTGGGCCCTTGTACCCATATGACTTTTCTCCAGAATAACTACTGCTGAGAAAGCCTTTGCCATGAGACAGTGAGGGGAGAAGGGTCAGCGTGCAGGGGTCTGTTTCCTTGCCCATTCCATACTCCGTAGGGGCTTTTTTTTTTTTCCAGACAAAATATACTTTAATTTCTTGGGAATCAGCTATTGGAAAAAATTATAACTAAATACAAATGTCTAAGTTCACTTAGGGCTTCTGCATAGACTACCTTTTCTTAAACTGGACTTACAATGGTGGTTTTCTTGTTTTCCTTCCATTAAATTTAAATTTTTCATCCTGCCCAGTGGTTCACAGCACTGGCTTCAGAGTTATATCATCTGGCAGCATTTAGAAGACCCTGATTCAGGCGTCATGCCCTGGGATCCTGGTTTAATTGGTCCGTAGTGGAGTACAGGAATCACATTTGTGAAGGGCTCCTCCGATGCTCTTAATGTGCAGCCATGTTTGAAAACCATTGAACGAGGCCTTCTCTTGGAGGCTTGTGAAGTGATGAAATCAGCACTGGGCTGGTGGGACAAGGATACTGCACGGAGCACACAGACACCTGTGTTCCTTCCTCACCTCCAGATGCCTGCTCTGTGTGTTGTGCCACTGGGAATCAGCTGAGTTGGTCTGTGGTTGTACAGATTCTGCGACAGAAATTCTGAGCTGGGATCTGAAAGAGTCATTTGCCTTTTCTGCTGGAAGAGCCTGTACAGTGTAAGTCAGGAGGTATCGTCCGGCAGGATTTACAGCAAAGAGACATTGCTGTAAATGTAATGTAATGTAAATGTAATGTAAACTAGGGACATTGAAGTCCCTAGTTGTGGTTACCTGATGCCTACCTACACCATTCACCTCTCTGAAGCTTAGCTACTTCTTTTTTTTTTTAACTTTTATTTAATGAATATAAATTTCCAAAGTACGGCTTATGGATTACAATGGCTTCCCCCCCATAACGTCCCTCCCACCCGCAACCCTCCCCTCTCCCACTCCCTCTCCCCTTCCATTCACATCAAGATTCATTTTCGATTCTCTTTATCTACAGAAGATCAGTTTAGCATACATTAAGTAAAGATTTCAACAGTTTGCTCCCACACAGAAACATAAAGTGAAAAATAATAGATGATTTTTTAAATGATGATGAAATCAGATCAGACCTATTGTCATGTTTAATCCCAGTGAGAGTCAAGTTGGGAATTGATAATTTCTTCTTCTTTTTTTTTTTTTTACAGAAGATCAGTTTAGTATACATTAAGTAAAGCTTTCAACAGTTTGCACCCGTGGGGGCTCTTTTAATACATATCACATTCTCAGATTCTCCCCCAGCAGTGTCTTCCCCTGACTCTGCCCTCGGATGTAAGTCTTCTCCAGGTTTCTGTTTTCTTTCTACCCCGAAATGTAGCTCCAACTTTGAGTTTCAGTTCTCTTTCTCTTTCAGCCTCTTTACTCTCTGGAGTTCTTGGTAGGAACACCCCTGTGGCTTCCCAGACCCATTATGGAAGCAGTGCTTTCACCTGGCCCCAGACCACTTCCCTTATGACTCCTCCCTTCTTCCCAACATTGAGACCTGACCACCTGCCTTCATCTGTGGCTTCACCTACCACACCACCACCCTCCACTCACATTCCAGTTCATCACTGAGATACGTACACTCAGTCTTCCCAGCAACCTAGTTATTTTTCCCCTCTTTTGTTCCTCACCTAGTTTTAGACCTCATCCCCATTTTTCTAGACTATTAGAAAAGCTTTGAGCACTATATTCTGTTTTCATTCTACAAGAGGGTTAATTTTGGAAATACGGTTCCTGTCCTGTCACTCCTGCCCACCTTCCCTACACAAACACCTTCAAGTCATTCTTTGCTTTGCTACTCTCATATCAGGAAGCACATCAGACATGAGGGCCTTTAAGCCGCCTTCCCACTCAGACATCCTGAGCCTGTGGTAGGACCGTTTATAATGATAGAGACGTTCCATATCTGCCTGGCCAACTCAGTAACCACTGCCATCTGTGGCTCTTGGGCCTTGAAATGTGGTTAGTGCAAATGAGTCGCTTAGGTTTTCATTCTCTTTCATTATAATTTATTTAAATCACAATAGTTGCATGCAGCCATTGGGTTACTTACTGGGCAGCACAATTAACCTCTACTAACTGGGTACTAACTCCTCCACATAATGTTCCTGGCCTTCTACTGCTATCCAAATCACTCCCTTCATGTGCCCTACACACTGGTGAGAAACCACATGCTGGACCTGCATGATGTGTCACCTAGTCCAGGAGGCCTTCCTGTTCCTCATTCCCACCCTCCTGGGGCAGAGGGAATGACTGCTTCTTCTGAGGCACCAAAGCACTTGCTTGTATGGAATTCCCATAATGCTTTACACACTGTTTATATATTTCTACATCAATTCCTCAAGGGCTGGAAGGCTGGGTTTAATTCTAAGAGTTTTGTGCAAGGGTCTATCACTTACTGGGCAGTGGGGAATGAAGATGAAGAGGAGGCTCCATCCTCCAGAGATCACACATTTGAACAAGCGGATGTTCAATGAAGACAGAGATACTTACTGCAGAATATATGATAAGTTTTCTGTAGCTCGGTGAATGGGTGACACTCTTCATGTGATTGAGGATTTCACTGACCAGGACACCTTAAAGGAGACAGATCAACAATGGAGCTGAACCAAATCTGGGCTTACACTTTAGTTTGTGAGTAAAGCTGGAGACTATCCCCACCCTGACTCAAGAAGGCATCTGCTATGTGTTAGGCAGCATGGTGAACATACATTATTTTTCACTGATTCTCAAGTCCATGCCTAGCTAAGGAAAGCTGAAGGCTAGAGGCATTCAGTGACTCACAGCCCGGTAAGGAGAGCCAGGCTGTGTGCCTGTACCCTACCCATGCCATACCATGTCAGATTTTGTTATGGCTTGAGGTATGAGGGTGGCCAATTTGGAATGAATTTTATATCATAAAAGACAAGTGTTAGCCAGTGATCTTGTCCAGAGATGACTGGAAATAGCAGAACAGCAGGTGGCTTCTCTATTCCTTCCCTTGCTTCTGCTCTCTGACAGTCAGACCTGTGCAGGCCATGGGCTGTTTTGTGTAGGCCAGGTCTCCAGGGGATCCCAACCAGGTATCACTGTTTGGGGGTAGCCAGCATCAACAGCTTTCACCTGAGGTATCTGCTTGTCTCTGATGGAGGAACACTTTTGCCCTTCATATGTGAAGGCCTAACTTGTTGCCGCTGAGTGGTGAAAGGCAAATGCACAACTCACAGTCTCCCTTCTATCTGTGGGCACTGAAGGCTATGTGTTTTACTATACGTGAGCTCTCCTGGCATGGGAATGGCCAGTGGTTTGGCTATGTTTGTTTTTGGTGATGAGCATTGATGTTAAGAGACTGACCATAATCCCAGATACTATGGTCCATGCAGCTATGGTGGGCTCAGAGCATCATAGCACCGAGTTACTGTGATAGGTACATAGGTGCAACATCTGAATGCCCCTCCCCCCAAGCTCATAAAATAGTGACAAAAGATAGGTCTATACATCAATAACTAGTACAGCAAAGGGTTGATTAGAGATGTAGGTGGTCTATTCTTTAGATCAGGCATTTCCTTGGCTGTGAATGGAAAGAGCTGGATGTTGCATCTCTAACAAGTTTAAATCTCTCTGTCCTGGAAAGCTTTTTAGGGAATTTGACTTGATCTTCAGCCAACATTGGAACTAAACTCTGTGGCCAAGTTTCTGGGAGTTATAATAGCTATCTGCAATCAGCAACCTGCCTATGGTCAACAGGTGCTTTTTGGTCAGCTGCAGGGTTACTAGTGAAAATGTGTTCTTGTTTCTGGATGGTCAGCTGCACTAATGAATATATGTGTTCTTGTTTCTGAAGTAACCAGGGGGTGACGATTATCCCCAGGTTCAGGTATATCAATATTGTTTTATAGGTGGGGGAACTAAGGCTCAGGAAGGCTAGCAATAAGTCCAAGATTATACAACTTGTAAGCAGAATCGGGTTTTGAACCCAGCACATTGAACTTCAAGCCTTTGTTCATAATCATTAGACCCCATTGTAGCAGAGAGTGTCTAAGTTCCCTGCTGAATCTTTTATTGATATGTACCACTCAGACAAAACCACTGATATGGAGATGTAAACATCATTCCTTCACAGCTGGACCCTAGCAAAGGTTGGCCAAGTTTTTCCGTGAAAGGCCAGAGCCTAAAGTGTTAGGCGTGAAAGGCCAGAGCCTAAAGAGTTAGGCTTTGTGGACCAGGATCTGCTGCCACCACTCAGCTCCATGTTTTATGACAGCATGAAAGAATCTGTAGACATCTGTAAATGAATGAGTGTGGCTGTGTTTCAATAAAACTTTATTTACAAAACCAGACCATGGGCTGGATTGAGTCTACAAGCAGTAGTTTGCCAACCCTGGTCTGGAGCAAGAAGTCTTCATTAACTGACATGACTGGCCCTTTATCCCTAAATTGGCCTCAGGGATATTATTTTTAGTGTGTGTATCTTTCAGAATAGTGCCACTCTTGACACTAAAGAAGGAATAAAAGTTCTGCCAAAGGTTGGAAAATGCTGGCCACAGTCCTGCTGTTCCCATGTTACTCTGTCACCCGGACAAAGCATGTTTCTGGGCAGGATCATGTGCAGATGTTTCATCATTTAACAAGCATGTAGCTGACACAGCTCCCTTGCCTAGCCAGAACTGAACAATGGACTGAGCTTGTGTTTTGGCAGAACCGTGCAAGAAGCAATCAACTGGCTCATTAGAGGCACTGAACTTCCTCCAAAAAGCAGTGGAGGTAAGTCCACACGGTTGCCAGCCTGGAATGTCTCAGGAAAGGGCTCCTGTAGACAGAATCTAGCTTACTACCCTCATCTGAGAGCAAACTGAGACTCAGCTTCCCCCATAAGGAATCTTCTAGTAGTAAAGGGGCTAGGAGGGGAAATAAGAACAAACTTCTAGGATAAAACATGTTTCTTATTCATGTGTAAACACCCTGCATCTAATATTAGATTATGGTCAATTACTGATTGGTATGGAGCATATTGGAATTCTAGTATGATGCAGGTTGGCAGGGCCTGATATTTCTTTGATTATTATTGTTGTTATTATTATTATTATTATTAATTAATCTATTTGAGAGGGAGAGAGAGAGAAAGAGATATCTCCCATTTACTGGTTCACTTCCAAATGCTCTCATCAGCTGTGGGTGAGCGCAGTCTGAGGCCAGGAGCAGGGAACTCAATCCAGGTCTCCTTTGTATGTGTCAGGTTCCCAAATTTGAGCCAGTCATCACCACTGCTTCCCAAGGTGCCCATTAGCAGGAAATTGGTTTCAGAAGTTAGAATGAAGATTTGAACCCAGGCACTTTGATATGAATGTCAGACTCCCAACTGCTTTCTTAACCCATTAAACCAAACAAGGATTTTTTTTTGCATTGCTTGAGGATTTTTTTTTTTTTTCATTTCCAGCCAGTTGCTAGGTGATGCTGATGTTGCTGGGCAATGGGCTGTATTTTGAGTAGTGAGGGGCTGGAAAAGAAATCAAGAGTCTCACCCAGCTTGGGACTGGGGCATGCTGCTGGCTTGGTGGGCAAGAATGAGGCTTGTGACTTATGTCGCCAACACAACACCCTTGGCATACTTTGCATTTAAGCACCTAAGACTGAACTTCTTCCCTGGGTACTGCTGTATATATAGTTTGGATCCATTCTGGTAGTTCCTCCAACACACTAGGTTCTGTCTAAGACTGCTCTCCAGATGTACTTCCTTTCTGAGAAGCTGAGTCTTGCTGCTCATGCCCTAATGTGGAGTATGGACTTGGGTGTTTCAATCGGGGCTGCCTCTGTGCTGTGCAAGCAGGACTTCTGCACAGCAGGTGCAACATCCTCACGTCCACTACTGACCACTCTCCTTAACTGTCAGCCCCAGCCGAATCTGCTCATCTCACATGAATTTGCTCCTGAGCATCTTGGTTTTATACCTCATGAGTGGCTCTCTTGGTTACAACCTGCCTCAATCTTATGCCTGATGTGCCACCCTGCTTTTCCAACTAGAACTGATTTCTCTTTTGGTTGATGATTTGATGATTTGAACTCTTTATGCAGCCCTGAGTGAACATCTCTGTCTATTTGCCTCACAAACAGGTAAATTTAAAAAAGAAAGAAAACTGGTCTAGGTCCCAGAATACTTTGCCTGTCTATTCTCTTGGGGTTCTGATGGACTTGTCCTGGTCTTGGAGTAAGCAGCATCTGGGAAAGGCTCAATTCCTGATGCAATTGTTCTAGCCTTCTTAAAACGTCTAGAATATATGAATCCATCTGACCTGAAATGTCTCCTGTGGTTTGAACTTTCATAATTATGTCAATCTGACATAGTAGACCCTCCTCTGCTCTTCATCCTCTGTGCTGACACCCCATCCCTAGATGCAGTGCCCACCCAACTACCCTCGCAGGCTCCACCATCTGTCCCTATTCTGTCAGGTCCTGGCTTCTTTCCTCCACTCACCTCTCCTGAGTACAAGCATCCAGCATCCCCTTGCCTGATTCTGTCTTCATTATTGCAGGGTGTCCTATGGTACAAGAGGCCATTTTCAAGGAAGAGACCTCACTGGGAAATAAATCTCAGCCCTTTTACAATTCCAACAGGAAAATTCAAACCTTTTCATAAATTTGTCATTTTCAACATATATCAATTTACAATGCATAATTACCCTATATTTTATCAACTTGAACAGTGGCCACTACTCAGGGTTTTAGGGAAATGGGCCATTTCTGTCATACCTCCTACTTGATACATTCATCCTGTAGGCCACAAGACACAGCTGGTTTTCATGGGGCTTGAACAACAATGCTTAACATTTTTTATCTAAAAAGTATGGGAAGGATCACTTAGCTTTGTTCCACAGCTTTCCTTTTTCCAGAATGGAAAACTAAGGCTCAGAGTAGGTAAAAATGAGGCCCAAGTGCTTGTATTTTGTCCCAGGTGCTGCTTGTTTGGCGCCTTTTGAATACACGGAGGCACTGTACCTCTTTCTGTCTATGAAGTAGGCATTATCCTCACTCCTGTTTTGTAGAATGAAAACTGCTGCAGAGTCATTAAATGGCCTGTCTGAGGTCACATGGCTGAGGTACAGGACCAGGACTCAGCCCCAGATCAGCCAACCACAAGTCCAGAAAGTTCCTCACATCTCTTTGGTACTTACCACCCTGGAGCCTAGATTTCTCCTTCTGTTTGTGAATTCCATAGAGGGACAGCAGGGACAATTCAGATAATTCTCTCAACTTGGTCATGGTCTCCTTCGTGGCCCAGGAAGGTAAAGTGAAATTGTGAACACTCTAGTAAAGAAGGAAAAACACATGCATTTTTATTCAAGGCTGTTCTCTCTGTTGACTTTTGAAATCCTCTTTCACCTCATAAGAGCTACTAGGGACAGTCTTTCTTGTTCTGCCATAGCTGTCCAAGAAAACTCCTTACTGTGGGTTGGGCATTTGGTGCAGGGTTAAGATGCTGCATTGGATATTCCCACAGCATATTAGAGTACCTGAGTTAAAGCCCTGGCCTGGCTTTCAATTCCAGCATCTTGCTAATGCACACTGTGGCAGTAGTGGTGGCTCAAGTACTTGGGTCCCTGCCTTTCATGTGGGAGACTCAGATAGAATTCCCAGCCCCTGGCTTTGGGCTGGCCTACTCTTAGTTACAACAGAAATTTGGGGAATTAATTGGCAAATGAAAGACTGGTCTCTCAAATAAATAAAGACATACCATTTTTAAAAAGGGAATGCTTTCTATTGTGTTGTTGATTTTCAGAAGAAAAAATTACAAAAATGAATTGCCCTTTCCCACCAAGTCTGTAGTTTTTGGCTGAACTCCAGGTCAGTGAGTGATTATATTTTGCAGAGCAAGGATACAGTAGGGCAAGGATGTACCTCCTTCTTTCATGAAAGCTTTAGAAATCTCTCCCTGTGCCTGTGGAGAAGCTGAAGGTTGACAGGGCTAGGAGATACTTTCTCAGCCAGCGTTGTGGTGCCGCAGGTTAAGAAGATGTTGGCAAAGATGGCCTCCCATATCAGAGTACTGGTTCAAATCCTGGCTGCTCCATTTCTGATCTAGCTCTCTGCTAATGCACCTGGGAAAGCAGCAGGAGATGGCCCAAGTACTTGGGCCCCTGCCACCTTCGTATGAGACCTGGATGGAGTTCCAGGCTCCTGACTTTAGCCTGGCCCAATCCTGGCTGTTATAATCACCTGGGGAGTAAACTAGTGGATGGAAGATTTCTATGTCACTCTGCCTTTCAAAATTAAATACATATTTTTTTTTAAAAAAAGATATTTCATCAAAAGCTGGGTGAGCCACATGGGAGGCCAGTTAGGACAGGCAGTGCATTTCTGGGGCATTTAATAATATACACCCACCCCCTCACCTTCTAGCTCACTGACTTCTGGGAATGGCTGCACCGTGCACCCAGTAAGTACTTGGTAAACATTTATTAAATAGTTGAATAAATTACCAGCAGGGCAGCTAGAGACCTGCCAATATTTTTTCCCTGTTATGGAGGCAGTGGGAGAGAAGAAGAGGGAAAGAACCACAGTGAAATGACTTACGCCGGCGCCACAGCTCAATAAGCTAATCCTCTGCCTAGCGGCGCCGGCACACCGGGTTCTAGTCCCAGTCGGGGCACTGGATCCTGTCCCGGTTGCCCCTCTTCCAGGCCAGCTCTCTGCTGTGGCCCAGGAGTGCAGTGGAGGATGGCCCAAGTGCTTGGGCCCTGCACCCCATGGGAGACCAGGAGAAGCACCTGGCTCCTGGCTTTGGATCAGCGCGGTGCACCGGCCGCAGCATGCCGGCCGCGGCGGCCATTGGAGGGTGAACCAACAGTAAAGGAAGACCTTTCTCTCTGTGTCTCTCTCTCACTGTCCACTCTGCCTGTTTAAAAAAAAAAAAAAAAAGGAAATGACTTACAGAGGAAATAAGGGAGAGACATGGAAAGGTTGTCATATTATGGAGTAGCTCAGACCAAAGTGTAGGAATGAAGAAAAAATACCAAAGGGAGAACTAAAATGTGGGCACTTGTTGCCACTCAGTGGCCCTAACAAGGCTTGCAAATCTTTACTGAAGCAGAGGCTGATGATAAAGGGAAAATGCTGGGAGGATGCTGTGTGGTTTGGACAATTACCTCTCCCGTGGCAATTGAGAAAGAAATAGCAACTAAGGTACCTGCTTCCCCTGACACTAGTGATGATCTTGGAATCAGAAGTAGACACAGTCAGAGGTGTGGGGCCAGAATTTTGCCCCAGCACCAGTGAAGTGCTTTGGAAAATTCGGGTAGAGAAAAGTTCTTTTACCCAGAAGGTGGAGCAGGGTGGCTAAAAAGCAACCACAGTAGTAATTCTATCGAATTCTTCTACCAAGGGTACTTAGAAGCATCATGCAATCAATTGCAACAGCCTGTCTGCAGTTGGATTGAATATTTCTATATCCAGAAATCAGTTAATTTTCTGTGTAATTACATTGACTTTTCCATTAAAATCCATGACATGAGTTCAGCATTCCTGAGTGACTGCAAAATAAATGAGTGGCCCTATATAGAAGAAAAACTACTTTGCTCACAATTTTCTAAAGGATGAAAATAAAAATAATGGAAAGAGAAGAAGTCAGGATTTTCAAGTTTATATAAGGAAGCCTTGAACTATGTTTCAATGTCTAAGAAAGTTTAACATCTGTAAAAAAGCAAAAGGAAAAGCATTCATCTGTTAGAATCATTCATAAAATCTTTAAAATTTTTTCCTACTTACCTCACAAAATAGAGGGTCATAGACTCTACTCCATATTCCAAAAAGGTCTTGGCCATGAAATCCTGAAAGTGTTGGCAAAGTTTCTATAAAATCCTGAAATACAAACAGAAAAAAAAAAAACTTTCTACTTCAAGGCTTCTCAGGTTGGGCACTCTTGACGTTTTGGGCTAGGTAATTCTTTGTCTTTGGCTGCCCTGTGCATTGCAGGGTGTTTATCTGTCTTTTGGCCTCCTCTGACAGATGTTAGCAGCACTCCTATTCTCACAGTTGTGATGGCCCAGTCTTCGCTAAATGCTCTTTGGGAGGCCCAGCCAGCCCTGTTGAGAACCTGTGTTCCTCAGGGAAAAGTGCATCAGTGATATTGATGCCAACCAGACAATGCCACACACACTACATGATCATCTCCCTTGATTACATTAAAATGCAGATAACTGCTGCTTAGTACCACATGTTCCTGGTTTGTGCTGAAATCATTCTGAAGGGCAGTCCTAGAAGTAGGTGAGCTGTAACTGAAGTGGTTCAGTGCCCAAATGGCTGCAACAGCTGGAGCTGGCTGATCTGAAGTCAGGAGCCAGGAGCTTCTTTCAAGTCTCTCACGTGGGTACAGGAGCCTAAGGACTTGGGCCACCTTCTACTGCTTTCCCAGGCCATAGCAGAGAGCTGGATCAGAAGTGGAGCGGCCAGGACTCAAACCGGCATCCACATGGGATGCCAGCACTGCAGGTGGCGGCTTTACCCGCTATGTCACAGTGCCAGGCCTCTCACTATGTTCTCTTATTCTTGACCATCAGGATAGTGACACTCAGGGTTCTCTGACTGCAATGCACACCCTGGAGGCAGTAGGTGATGGTCCAAGTAGTTAGGTTCTTGCCACCCATGTGGGAAACCTGGACTGAGTTCCTGGCTTCTGGCTTTGACCTGGCTCAGTTCCGACTATTGTGGACATTCAGGAAGTGAATCAGTGGATGAGAGCTCTATGTCTGTATGTCTCTCTGCCTCCCAAATAAGTGAAAAATAAAGTTATTTCAAAATTGGGAGCTTGAGGGGCCAGCGTTGTGGCGTAGCAGGTAAGGTAACCACTTTAGATGCCAGCATCCTATTAGGCTACCAGTTTGTGTCCCAGCTGCTCCACTTCTGGCCCAGCTCTCTGCTGATGGCCTGGGAAGGGCAGAAGATGGCCCAAGTACTGGAACCCCTGCTACCCTTGTGGGAGACCTAGAAGAGGCTCCGGGCTCCTGGCTTTGACCAGGCCCAGTGCTGCCATTGCGACCATCTGGGGAGTGAACCAGTTGGTGAAAGATCTCTCTCTCTCTCTCTCTCTCTTCCTCTCTCTGTAACTCTTTCGAATAAATGAATAAATCTTTAAAAATGAGGAGCTTGATTTGAGAAATATAATGATTCAATGTTAGCAAATCTATGAAGATAATTAGTAATAGTAATTGGCCCAAGGAAAGAAATAACTAGAATATTTAATCTTTTAAAAGTTCTTTTTTAATATTTTAACAACCCATATTGATTTAAAGAAACACTCAAGAGCAGCATTGTGGCACAGTTGGTTAGCTGCCACCTGCATTGCTAGCATCCCACATGTGTACTGGTTGGAGTCCCAGCTGCTTTACTTTTGATCTAGTGCCCTGTTAATGTGCCTGGGAAAGCAGTGGAAGATGGCCCAGGGACTTGGAACCCTGCACCCATGTGTAACCTGGATGGAGTTCCAAGCTCTTGACCCAGTACTGGCAGTTGTAGCGATTTAGGGAGTGAACCAGCTGATGGAAGATATCTCTCTCTTCCTCTTTGTCTCTCCCTCTCACTCTGCAACTCTTTCAAATAAATGAATTTTTTTAAAAGAAACAAACAAAAGAGAATTAGACATCCTATTAAAGAATTCAATGAAAATGTATTTCTTTGGGTTTAAATGCCAGCATGCTTAATAAAGAAAAATGTCTGAAATGAGGAATGAGAGAAGGAAGCCAAGTATAACAGTGTACTATGTGTAATAATCAATGCCAACCAACCAAGAAAGAAATCAGAAATTGGAAAACTAGAGATGAACCATTATTATTTGCAGATATTGTAAACCTGGAACAAACAATAAAAATATAAAGACATTTAAGAAGAAAACCCTAAATACTCTTTGAGTCAAGAACAAGTAGGGAAACATAATATATTCTTGGAAAGAAAGACACAACATTGAAAAGCTGTAAATTCTTCCAGGATGATTTTATAAAGTTAAAATGCCAATGAAAGTACTAAAAATTTTAAAAAGTACTTTTGGAGTTAGATGAGCTTACTTACAAATCTAAAGTATAGAAATGAAAACTCAGAAAAAATAGAGCACTGAGGTATTGCTAGTCCTTTAGATAGTAAAGCATGATACGAAGTCTTGGTAATAAAAACTATGGTTTGAAATAATAAGAACAATTAAATATAGAATAAAAAGTCCAGGGGTGAGCTTTTGGTGCAGTGGTTAAAACATTGCTCAGGATACCTGCATCTCATATCCGAATGCCTGGGATCGAGTCCTGCTTCTGCTTCTGATCCAGCTTCCTGCTAATATGCACCCTGGAAGGCAGCAGATGATGGCTCAAGTACTTGATCCCCTGCCACCCATGTAGGAGACCCAGATGTAATTTCCAGTTCCTGGCTTCAGCCTGGCACAGCCTCTGCTGTTGCAGGCATTTGGGGAGTGAGCCAGAAGATGGAAGATCTCACCTTCTTGTTCTTTCAAATAAATTAAAAAAATAATAACTAAACTTTAAATAAAAATTTATAGGAAAAAGAAAACCAAGAATCCAAAAGAAAAACAGTCTAGGAAATGCAATGGCATTTAAGTAGGTGAAGGTACTCAAGCTGACTCATAAAGTTCTATAGTACAGCAGTGGTCTTCTTGTCTGATTCCTTGTTTCAGAGGGGACACCTGTGGTGATGTTTTTCACTTAGCAGAGTGGCAAAGAGCCCAAAGTTATCCATGCACTGCTGGCAGGACTGTAGACTAGTAGGCACCCTTGTTTAGGCCTGCTAGAAGTGGAAATTGGTCTAACCTCTTTGGAGGGTAATTTGGTAATATTTCAGATGGACCTAGAATTTTTATTTCTTGGATGTTATCCCAAAGACTTCCTTGTGAAATTATTTAGATGCACAGGGGTTCGCATAGACTTGTGTCAAGAAACAAAAGATTGGAAATCACATCTCCATCAATAGGGGCTGGTTAAATAAATTGTGCTATAATTTGTAAAAAAAAAAAAAAAAAAGAAAGAAAAGAATGAATGAGGAATTCTTTTATGCATAGTTATAGAAATACTTAAAAATATTTTACTATATGAAAAACACAACGTGCCCAACTCTGTGTGACACACCTCTGTGTGACACAAAGGGAAACTATCATCATGCATTGTGCTTGTCTGAATAGACATAAAGAAACTGGAAGACTATCCAAGAAAATCATGCCAGGGGGGATGTGTGGGGTCATGGAGAGACTTTCCATTATATTTCCTTTGATATTTTTCAATGGTTAGACTGTAGAAATGTATTACTGATTCAAAAGATTATTTTTAATGCACATTCTATCTTATATACAGTCTTGAAAAGGGCTATTTCACAAAGAAACATAGAAACAAAAAACATTATCTTTAGTATACGAAGTCCATAGTCCCAGCTCTCAGCCTCAATAAGGCAGGTGATTTCAGACTTGCATTTATTTTTATCCAGCCAATTATTTATGTGTGGCTCCTGCCAGGGAGTTCAGTGTTTGCAAAGGATTGGTTTCTCTATTGGTCTGTAGCCCTGTATAAGGATATGGATCAGTGGTGATCTCTCATGAAAGGTTCTAGCACATTGCTATAACCAGTCATACTCATCCCACGCTTTTTAATAAATGAAAGCCTTAGTCCTGGTCTTGGCCCTCATGCTCTTTACATCACCAACCTTGTAAGGTTGCAGCCTCTTCTGGAATTCCTCCGATTGCAAAGTCTCGCTTTGAAGTTCTTGAAAACGAGGGCAGTTTCTGAAAGGCAGGTACAGCAACTGAGGATGACAGGAAAACCGTAAAAGCTTTGTTAGTCAGCAGCACTTGGCTAAATAAGCTGCAGTGAAATGTGAGGCCTCATTAGGTCCAAAGTGGCCTTAACAAAAGATTAAAATGGGTTTTGAACTGAATGAAAATTCTACAATTAGGGGAGGAGGGGCTGGGGAGAGACAAATGGTGTGCAGAACTGAAATCTTTTATTATTTTTTTTTCCCCTCTCTCGAACTCGTGTGCACAGGGCTGTGCTGTTGGTGAATGCTCACACTTCCTGGTTTTCCAGGTGGATAACTTTTCTTGCCTGTCCCCAACTCCTTTCATTTCTAGCACTAAGTGTGCAGCTGTGCACACATTCAGCCCCACCCCCAGCCCCCTGACTATGGAGAAATATGTAGGAGGCTCCAGAAGGAATCTTAGGAGATCCATTGACCCCTCATTGTTTCAGTGATGACAAGTTTGCTGACTGTTAAAAAAGGGGTACATATTAACAGTGCTGAAAAATACCCTTAATTAATACGAGAGGCAGGCATTTGGCACATGGTTGAGATGCTGCTGGAGATACCTATATTCCATATGGCACTGTCTGGGATTGAGTTCCACCTCTGCTTCCAATCCAGCTTCCTGCTAATGAGCGCCCCAGGAGGCAGTGTATGATGGCTCAAGTATTTGGGCCCTGCCGCCACATGGGAAACCCAGATGGAGTTCCTGGCTCCTGGCTTTGGTCTGCAGCCCTGGGAGGCAAAGGTAATGACTCAATCAGCTGGGGCTTGCCACCCATGTGGGAGAATCCAGTGAATTCCTGGTTCCTGACCTAGCTCCAGCCATTGTTTCTCTCTGGAGAGTGAACTAGCAAATGAAAGATCTCTTTCTATCTCTCTGCCTTTCAAATATAAAATAATAAATACATAAAAAAATGGGAAACAAGCCTACAACTTAATATGAAGACAAAGTGATCACCGTAAAACAAGTTTAAATTTGACCATCTCTTGAAGTTTTACTGTGATCCCAAGCTTATTTTGCTGCTCTTAATTTCTATCTGTGCTGCATTTCCAGTCCTTGGTGGACATCACTATTTGGAAGTTTCTTTTCTTCCTCAAATGTAACATTTACACAGCTGAACTCAACTTCTTCATTTTTAACCAATTCTCTACTTTCGCCAGTGGCTAAATTTATCAACCTGCTAACTAGGGCAATCACTTTCTTTTGTTTGCTTTCTAAGTATCCAGATATTCTTCATCCTGCTTGTCCCCTCCCTGCCAAGCCATCATAACCTCTGTGTCAACTACTGTCAGAGCGCCTATCTGTTCAATCTTGGTCTACTCTTTCTGCCTTCACAACTCATTCTCCACACAGCAGCTACACTAATCTTTTCTATTTTTTATTTATTTAAAGTTTTTTTGTTTATTTATTTATTTAAAGGCAGAGTCACAGAAAGGCAGAGGCAGAGAGCTCTTCCATCTACGGGTCCACTCCCCAAATGACTGTAATTGCTGGAGCTGGGCTGATCCAAAGCCAGGAGCCAGGAGCTTCTTCTGGATTTCCCCCATGGCTGCAGGGCCCCAGGCACTTGGGCCATCTTTTGCTGCTTTCCCAGGCACATTAGCACAGAGCCAGACAGGAAATGGAGCAGCTGGGACTCGTACTGGTGCCCATAAGGGATGTTGGCACTGCAGGTGGCAGCCTACCCACTATACCACAGTGCTGGTCCCCCATCTTTATTTTTTAAACACTAACCTTTTTTAAAGCATCAATAAGAACATGTCAGTTGGTGGTTCACAATCATCATTGTTTTTCCATTTTTCTTGGAGTAAAATCTAAACTCACTAGTGTGGCCTCTGAGAGGTTCCACAGCTTACATGATGTGACCCTGAGAAATCTTGGTGTCTTCTCCTGCCATCGAACCTGCACCCAACCCTCCCCAGCAGCACTGAGGGCATTCTTGTTCTCTGCCCCTTACACACGATTTTCAGGGCCCCAGCCTGGAGTACCCCCACCACTAACCCCCAGACCTGCTCTTCAGCCATCATGCCTGTCACTATCATATTAACTTGATTTATTTCCTTCAAGGAAGTCAACATCCTCTAAAATCACTTTATTTATTTATCTCTTTATTATCCATTCCCCATAAAAATAAAGTCAATGAGAGCCAGGATGCTATATTGCTCATCTGCTGTCTCATTAACACCTAGAACAGGACTAGGCTTATTAGTAGGTACTCAGAAAAGATTGATTTTTTTAAAGTTCCTTCTTGTCACTTCAGATTTTTGTTTAAAGTTTGCTTATTTAATTTATTTGAAAGGCAGAGTGAGGAGAAGGAAGACGAGGGGGAGGAGAAGGAGGAGAGGAGAGAGAATCTTCTATTCACTGGCTCACTCCCCAAAGACCCTACAATACCCAGGGCTGGGCTGAAGCCAGAAGCCAGAAGCCAGAAGCCAAGAACTCCACTTGGGTCTCCCACATGGGTGTCAGGGACCAAAGTACTTAAGCTGCCTTCTTCTGTCTCCCAGAGTATGCATCAGCAGGAAGCTGGATCAGAAGCAGAGGCAGGACTTGAATCCAGACACGGCTTAACCCACTGTACCACAATGTCCATCCTCATTTCTGATTTGGGGTGTCACCTTGCATTCCTTCCTCTAATACCTTTGACCATGGAATTTCAGGCTTCTTTTCCTCATTCCTGAACTGTGTAAACAGTTACTCTCTGAGGCCCCAGCATGTCTTCCTGCTAAGCCATTGTCTGGCAGATGCCTCAAAGCACCACTCCCTGGTGTGTGTGATGCTGAAGAACACAGACATTCATGAAGGGTCCACTCATGTGCACTGCCTTCAGTCCAAATTTCCCTGCATTGCTTTCAGGTTTTTCCCCAGGAGAAATTATATTGTTGAGGGAATAAGCAGATGGCTGTTCATTAAAAGGCTGTGCTTCTATGTAGTGACTTAACCTTTCAAACTGTGTTTTCCCACCCACCCACAAACTGAATCAGGTTGCAAATCAAAAGAATAATAACCTAGGGGGCTGGAGCTGTGCTATAGTAGGTTAAGCCTCAGCCTGCAGCGTCAGCATCACCTATGGGCACCGGTTTGTGTCCCAGCTGTTCCACTTTCGATCCAGCTCCCTGCTGGTGGCCTGGGAAGGGAGCAGAAAATGGCCCAATTCCTTGGGCCTCTGCACCCACGTGGGAGACCTGGAAGAAGCTCCTGGTTCCTGGCTTCAGATCAGCCCAGCTCTGGCCATTGTGGCCAGTTGAGGAGTGAACAGCAGATGGAAGACCTCTCTCTCTGTCTCTCCCTTCCTCTGTCTGTAATTCTGCCTCCCAAATAAGTAAGTGAAAAAATCTAAAAACACACACACACACACACACACACACAAACAATAACCTAAATATCTGTCCAGAGTTTTGCTGTTTACAACATCTTTTCCATCCTTCAACTAACTTGGCTTTCACAGATCCCAGGGAGGATCTGTGGGGTCTGCTGTTGCCATTTAGCAGAAAAGGAAGCTGAGGGAAAGGTGGGGAGGTTACTCAAGGTTATCTGGGTGCGTCTCAAACTGCTAGTTGGCTCAGACCTAGGTCCTCCAGCTTAAAATCAGCCCATCTTCTAACATCACACTGGCCTTCTTTCAGTCTCAAGATTTCCTTCTGGGGGCTGGTGCTGTGATGTAGCAGGTAAAAGCCGCTGCCTGCAATGCAGGCATCCCATATGGCCACCGGTTTGTGTCCCAGCTGCTCCACTTCTGATCCAGCTCTCCATTAAAAGAAGGCAGTAGAAGATGGCCCAAGTCCTTGGGCTCTGCACCCGAATGGGATAACCAGAAGTTCTTGGCTCCTGGCTTCGGATCGGCGCAGCTCCAGCTGCTGTGAACTACCAGATGGGGGACCTCTCTATCTCCCTCTCCTTCTCTCTCTGTGTAACTCTAACCTTCAAATAAATAAATAAATAAATTTTTTTTAAAAAAATCATTGCCCTCTTGAAGCTCCATATCCATGTGGGTCTTGCTCTCTCAATTCCTCCAGCACATATGGTTTGCATTTGAAATCATTGTCCGCTCTTTAGTGCTGTGTTCCACAAGTCTCACATATGCAAATCTTTCTTCAGACAGACTACAAATTAGAGAAGAAACTTGGCCTCACAGTGCCTGTATTTCTCTACAACATTCAGCAGTTCAGCATAGCTCTGGAAGTAATCTGGTACTGACTGATCTAGTTATTCTTAATTGAGTTCACAGAGGATTTTTCCACCTTAGTGAGTAGGTAGTTGGAAGCCATAGGTAGATAATCTTGCTTGCTTCTCTTTCTCTCTCCCTTGTTCTGTTTCTCTCTTCCTCTTCTAATAGCACCTGTATTCTCTTTCCTGTGTAACTAAATTGGGATCTTTCAGGATTATGGGTTAAATAGTTATTGGGTCTACACTGGCGGATTTTGCCAAAAGTCGACAGAGTAGCTGACCAAAGTGTATGATGATCTGAGGAGAAATTCAGTTTCTACTTGCTCTTGACTAGGGCTCTCCTTGTTTTACATTGTCTTTTGCATCTTTTTAAAAGAAAGAATTAGTCTCTCAGTATACTGACCCGATCTTCAGACAGGGGGACTGTGTGCACTGGGATGGGTTGCCAGAGTAGGCTGGGATTCCAGATTCTGGGGCCCTCTGGGGGAAACAGGGCTGCAAGATTTGTCATAGCACTCATCAAAGTCCGGTCAACGTCTGTGCTACGAACATAAACCTAGAGTGGGAAAACCAAAACAGAAGCCAACTTAAAGGAAATTTGCTTTCCTGTGGAGCTGTCAGGGTATTAGAGAAAAAAGCAGACACCCACACTAAAATATTAGCACATATGTGGTAATATCATAATAATACTCTTTATGAAATGAACAATATTATGAGTATATCATGGTACAAAGTAACCCAGCAGGCAATGGTTGCACTGACGAATGAGACCGTTAAGTGTAGGCTACTTGCCAAGCCAAAGTAGTTACATAGGTATCTTTGAACTGGTTCATATTCATAACATTTTAGGAACAGTATAATTGTATAAAGAGAGGTACATTTGTAAATAAGATCTCTGACTTGTGTAAGTTCCTTAGAAAATAAGCAAAGGGCTGACACTGTGGCATAGTAGGTAAAGCTGCCACCTGCAGTGCCAACATTCCATATGGGTGCCGGTTTAAGTTCTGGCTGCTGCTCTTCCAATCTAGCTCTCTGCTATGGCCTGGGAAAGCAGTAGAAGATGGCCCAAGTCCTTGGGCCCCTGCACCCATGTGGGAGATCCAGAAGAAGCTCCTGGCTCCTGGCTTTGGATCGTTTCAGCTATGGCTGTGGAGGCCATTTGGGGAGTGAAGCAGCAGATGGAAGATATATTTCTCTCTCTATCTCTTTCTTTCTGCCTTTCAAATAAATAAATCTTTAAAAAAAAAAACAAAGAAAGTAAAATAAGTGCTTTTATATATGCAGAATTGTTTTTGTTTTCTCACGGTCAAGGTTTCACTACTTGCCTGTTCGTGATTATAGGACTCATTCAAGAATCTTCCATATCTTTTCCTTATATGCTCTCCAAGTTCATAATGCTGCTCCATACCAAGCTATAGGAAGAAATAGAAACAAAAGTTACTGAAAGCAACTTTTATGAAACAGAATCATAAAAAGCTGTCTCCTCTCTCCTCGTTATATGTGTAGGGTGAACAGTGTGCTTAATAATTCCATAATACTAACACATACTTAAATGGAAACAAGAAGAGAGGTGTTATTTTGAGCCACTATTCCTTAAGGAAACTTGTTCATTTTTATTAGCACTTAATATTTAGCCTTGCACACAAAAGGTGCCTAGTTGATACCAATGATACTGCTCTCATTTAAGTAAATTGTTCACCTCTATGGGTAACAATGGGATCCTGTCTGTAAGAACATTCAAAAGGATGGGATGACCACTTGCTGGGGATTTTGTAGCAGAAGTTCAACAATCTAATGAGGTGGGGCTAGATGAATTTGGAGGTCTCTTTTAACTTCAGGGTACAATAATCTTCACAGTTGGTTTTTGCCTGGTCCATAAAAAGTTAGCACCTGTTACTTAGAGTGTGGTCTGTGGATTGGCAGTATTGGCATCACTTGAGAGCATGTTAGAAAGCAAATTCTTGGGTTTTACCTGTGACTTGTTGAACCAGAATCTTTAAGGGTGGTGCTCAGGAATCTGTTGTTTATAAGCTCCTGATGGGCAGTAAGTCAGAGACTGCATTGGCTCAGTAGTAAATTATTTGAGGTGCTTCTTTTTTTTAAAGATTTTTAATTTTTTTTTTAAATTTATTTGAAAGAGTAACAGAGAGAGGTACAGACAGAGAGAAGTCTTCCATCTGCTGGTTCACTCCCCAGATGGTAGCAACGGCTGGAGCTGCACCAATCTGAAGCCAGGAGCTAGGAACTTCTTCCGGGCCTCCCACGGGTGTGCAGGGGCCTGGGCCATCCTCCACTGCTATCCCAGGCCATAACAGAGAGCTGGATTGGAAGAGGAGCAGCCAGGACTAGAACTGGTGTCCATATGGGATGCCGGTGCTTCAGGCCAGGGCTTTAACCCAGTGAGCCACAGTGCCGGCCCCTGAGGTGCTTCTTGAAATGCGGATTCCTTGGCCTCTCTCCCAGAGACTCTGGCTCATCAGTTCCTGAGTGGGATCCCAGAAATTGCATTTTAGCAAGTACTTCTCCCCTCCCCAATGATTCAGATGCAGGTAGTAGATCACCATGATTTGAGAAACATTATATTCCAGTTTAACTTTAATCCAGAGCCTTGTGAGAGCTCAAGGAGTTAGAAAGGATGCAGTCACCTTGACCACTTCTTGATCTCACTTGCTGGTTTGCTTGTCGGTCTTGGCCACCACTGTCATCATGTCCCACCTACGATAGGGATGAAGTGGGAAAAGGAGCAATGCCCTGGGGAGTTAAAGAAGCAGGTGCTTTGGGTCTGTGTTTTAACTTACAGCTGACTTTGAAGAAATGGGCATCTATATATAGAACAGTTGTTTTCAATCTGTAGAGTGCACAGAAGGACCGCGAACAGTCATTAAAACACAGATGTCTAAGGCTGGTGCCGCAGCTCACTAGGCTAATCCTCCACCTTGCGGTGCCAGCACACCGGGTTCTAGTCCCAGTCGGGCGCCGGATTCTGTCCCGGTTGCCCCTCTTCCAGGCCAGCTCTCTGCTGTGGCCAGGGAGTGCAGTGGAGGATGGCCCAAGTCCTTGGGCCCTGCACCCCATGGAAGACCAGGAGAAGCACCTGGCTCCTGCCATCGGATCAGCGCGGTGCTGATGTCTAGGCTTTACTTTCAGAGTTTCTGGTTCATGGGCATAGGGTGAGGCCACAGAATTTACATTTCTGATGAGAACACAGCTGACGGTAATGTCTTGCGTCCAGGGGTGGACCAGCAGCTGAAAGCTGCTGATTTGGAAAGCTCATGCCTCCGCATCATGCTGATAAGAAGTGCCTGGCCCAGAGGCAGGCATTGGCACTCCAGAACTTGGTTCTTCAACAGTGGCTCATGTACGTACAATTGGAATCACCTGGGAGCACATTAGCTATGCAGAACCTCAGGGCTGCTGAATTTAAATCTGCATTTTAAAAAGATCCTCAAATGGTTCATTTGCACAAGGAACCACAGCAACATTGCTCCGGGAGAGTCTATCTGATGGAAGGGACTCCCAGAAGAACCCGTGGTCTTACTAAAAAAGCATAGTAAGGGACCTAAGTCTCTACAGAGCCATAGGTATTAAGAAGCAAACCTGAAATTTTGTGAATCTTCTCTAATCCTAAGAAGGTTGGAAGAGCTCTGACTTGGGACCCAAAAGAAAATGGCCTCAAATAGTCTTTCTGAAATTTCTCCTCCATGAAACATAGTTTAGTCAGAGCAGTGTTTCAACTCCGGTTGCATATTAAGCTGGTCAATTAAGGAGCTTCTAAAAATTCCAGTGCTCAAGCCACATTCCGCCTATTAGTTTTGGGAGCATTCCATTCTAAACGTTCTGTGACATTTCACAATATATTTAAATAGTGCTTTGGTCAGGACAAGAGCAATGCACCTGGGCTTGGGGGACTCCAAAGAGAAGAAACAGCCACTCTTTATAGTGAGTGGGAATGGGGTTCCGGAAAAGCAACTATGAATGCCACTGCTCCTCAGTGTACCTTTTCTACAGGTGTCCTTTTGAAAGCAGTGTTCCCTGTGTTTAACCCCTTACAAGGGAGTCTCAATCCCAATATGCCCAGCTGAAAAGTACAATCCTGGCATACGCACTTTCAGAGTCATGTTTTTCCAACTCAGCTTATTGAATACAAAACTATGTTTTGGCTTTCCATGGTTCAGCCTAAGAAACTCAAGGGCTGGATTTTAAGTTTACTTCTTGGCTCTTTTCAGCATTTCTAAGTTTCTCTATATTCTTCTGTTGCCCACACACATCTCTTATACATATTCAAAGCCAACAAGGTAAAAAAAAAAATCCCAGCAGATGGTTCTATATCCATTTCCCCTCAAGACTCATCAACAATTTCTAACTGTAAATCCAGCCAACCTGAGTGAGTTGGCCAAATCCTTGTGGCCATGAAGATTCCTTGATGGGGTCATTGGGAAAGGTTTCAATGGGGCTTCGATCTCCATGCCGAAATACCTGAAAGTGGAGAAGAGATGGTAGTGTTACATATTTCAGTTGTGTTTTGGTTCTCTCTAGCATAATAATTTTCTTCTAAACAACAGCTGGTTTTCAACCTTGACTGCCCACTGAAATAATTTTGGGAGTCTTAAAAAAAATTCTGAGGACTGGGCCAGCACCATGGCTCACTTGGCTAATCCTCCGCCTGCGGTGCTGGCACCCCAGATTCTAGTCCCGGTTGCTCCTCTTCCAGTCCAGCTCTCTACTATGGCCCGGGAGGGCAGCGGAGGATGGCCCAGATGCTTGGGTCCCTATACCTACATGGGAGACCGGGAGGAAGCACCTGGCTCCTGGCTTCAGATCAGCCCAGCACTGGCCATAGTGGCCATTAGGGGAGTGAACCAACAGAAGCAAGACCTTTCTCTCTCTCTCTCACTGTCTATAACTCTACCTGTCAAATAAAAAAAAACAAAAACAAAAAAAAACAAAAAAAAAAAAAAAAAATTCTGAGGACTGAGTCCCACTCCTACTGATTCTTTTTTTAAATGAGTCTGGGGTGCAACTAGGACATGAAGATTTAAAAAATCTCCCTAGGGGCCAGCACTGTGGCACAGCGGGTTAACGCCCTGGCCTGAAGTGCCACATCCTATATGGGCACCGGCTCTAGTCCCAGTTGCTCCTCTTCTGATCCAGCTCTCTGCTGTGGCCTGGGAAAGCAGCAGAAGATGGCCCAAGTCCTTGGGCCCCTGCACCCATGTGGGAGACCCGGAAGAGGCTCCTGGCTCCTGGCTTCGGATCGGTGCAGCTCTGGCTGTTGAGGCCAATTGGGGAGTGAACCATCGGATGGATGACCTCTCTCTCTCTCTGGCTCTCCTCTCTATGTAACTCTGACTTTCAAATAAAAATAAATAAACCTTTAAAAAAAATCTCTAGAGAAGTTTCAGGTAAAGGAGCGCTATTCATGCCCACTAGCACTTTCGCTGGTCTCAGGTAATGTAGGAATCCAGGTGGTCAGCCTTCAGAAGGCAGCAGACACATGCATGGTGATGGGTTCATGTATAAGGGCAGGAAGGAACAGAAAGCTTACCATGTCACTTTTATTGCAGATGGACTCTGATACTTCTAAGAGAAGGATTACTCCTTTGATTACAATTTCAGTAATAATGGCATTAAACATTTTACCTATAATAAAAATGGTGGTTTTTAAATGCCACCTTCAATTTGTGACCATTCTGAGCCAGTGATTTATTTGTGTTTAGGACTTTGGGGAAGGAATCATGGGCAGGGAGATTAGGAAAGCTAATCTGAATACTTTAAGAACACGATTCTGGATCTGTAAGCATTCAGTGCTATTTTGATTACACATTTTTCATTGGAGAGAGTAATCAGGACTTTGGAAACCTTGGTACTTTGATCCTAATATGCTTTCTGCCAAAACTATAATGTAAGCAAAAAATAAGGAAAGAATAACATACTCACATCTCTGAGTATGACGTGAACTTGACATTGATATCAGTAACTTTTTTTGAAGGTTTATTTTTTTTAAAGTCAGAGTTACAGTGAGAGAGGAAGAGAGACAGAAATCTTCCATCCTCTGGTTTGCTTTTTAATTGGCTGCAATGACCAAGGCTGAGCCAGGAGCTTTATCCATGTCTCCCACGTGGATTCAGGAGACCAAGCACTGGGGCCATCTTCTGCTGTCTCCCTAGGTGCATTAGCAGGTTCCTGGATTGGAAGTGGAGCAGCTAGTACACATACTGGCATCCTTAATGGATGTTGGCTTTGCAGGGGTTGGCTTTACCTGCCATGCCACAATGCTGGATACTCAGCAACTTTTTTAATACAGAGAAAGGCTGTATAACACCGTGCTTTATCTGAGATTACCTATATCTGCCATATATACTACCTGACTAATATGTTCCTTTGAAAAGAGGGCCAAAGGGGCTACTCATTTGAAATCTTATAAAGCAGTCAACAGACTGAATAAGGATCAATCTCCAGCTTCAGCTCTCTGAAAAGGGATTCCAGGTAAGTGGGTATAGCAGGCTCCTACGACTTGGGGTGTGTCTTCAGTGTCTGAAGAAATCCAATCCTTCAGTTCCCCACCCATAAGAAATGAAAACCTCAGTAGAAAAGGCAGCAGAAGACAGAGGGATGACAGTGCAGTAGGAATTCAGAGATAGTTTTGGTCAGGTAAGGAACTGCTGTCGTGCATGGTTCCTCCTGGCTATAAGAATAGCTGTGCTTTCTCTCGCATACCTGCAGTTATTGTCTCTAGGGGTGACTTGGTCATGTTTAGAAATTGTCAAATTTAACCATTCATGCCTCTCTTTCCAGAATTGAAACATTTATTGGGCTTCTTAGCACCAAGTTATTGTGCAAAATACTTTTCCAAACCTGAATAACTGAAGGTATAATCTGGTTTCAATAGATTACAAACTTCACATTGCTTAGTTTCCAGAGTTTCTCAATCTCAGGTTTTGACATTTGGGGCTGGATAATCCTCTGCTGTGAGGGCCATTGTGCACATTATGGGATGCACAGCGGCAATCCTGACCCCTTCCCACTCAATGTCAGTAGCATTTCCCAGTCCTGATAACTGAAAGAGCCAAATGTCCCCTAGAGGGAAAAATCACCCCCAGTTGAGTGCTGCTGAGTCAGAGAAGTCAGATCAGGGACATTGTGGTAAAATAATTTACAATGCTTTTTCTCACCATATAACCACAACAATAAATCTTCCTTTGTCCTAGGAACTGCTTCTCACATATTTAATCCTCTCTTCAGTTCTACAGTTACTATAACTATTTTCATTCCACACAGAGGAATATGACATTAGCTAAGTGATTTGCCCAAACTCACACAGCAGGTAAGTGGTAGGGCTGGGATTGTCACCACAGCTGTGTGTCCCCAATATCAGTCTTCCCAGATATCCAAGATAGTGTCCCTGATGCCAGCATACCCAGGAGAGGGGTATTTCTCCATACACACTCTCCCAGTATGCCAGCTAAGTCTACATGATCTGGCACCTGGGCTTCTTTATAACCATGACCCGAAGTACTTGTTTCCTCTGCAATTGGAAGAAATGTGTATATACGTGTGTTGCATCAGAAGAAACCAAAACCTTAATAGAAAAGTAATCCCCAAAGCACAATGAATCATGTGCATCATTTAAAAAATAAAACTGATGTTATGCAACTAGTGGACAAAATGGCCCAAGGAGAAGACAAGTGCAATGAACTTGGTGGGATGTGTTCTAAGGAGCAGAGCACTAGGGGTTGGCATTGTGGTACAGTAGATTACACTTCTGCCTGCAGTGTTGGCATCCCATGTGGGTGTCAGTTCAAGTCCTATCTATTCCACTTCCAATCCAGCTCCCTGCTAATACACCTGGGAAAGCAGCAGATGACTCAAGGACCTAGGCCGCTGTACCCACATGGGAGACTGTGAAGAAAGCTCCTGGCTTCTGGCTTCAGTGTGGCCCAGCCCAGACCATTGTGGCCATTTGGGGAGTGAATAAGCAGATGGAAATCTCTCTGTCTCTCCTTCTCTCTATATCTCTGCTTTTCAAATAAATACATAAATTAAAAAAAAAAAAGAGCAGAGCACTGGACATGATCATGAGACTTGGTACTTCTCACTCTGACCCACACAAGGCACTTGAAAAAGCTTGTGGAAAATGGAGTTCAGTTTATTTTGGTGAAATAATGTTCAGAAAATCCATGCATACTTTTTTTTTAATACCATGCATTTTTCTTAACTTCTGAAGACCCCTCATATTCAGAAATAATTGTATTCCCCTGTGTTCCAGTGGATTTTCAGTATCTCTGAGGCTGTGGTTCAAGCATGCTATGGAGTGTTTGGAAGGGATGCCCACAGAAATACTCAGTAACCATCCCCTGCCTCAAGGGATGGAGTTCAGTGTGTGTATGTACATGCATATATGGGTATCACCGTGTGCATGTGTGTCTGAGTCTGTTTGTGTGTATGTACTTCAAGGGTGCTCTCCTTGGGTTACTGGAGTTTCTCAGTTCAGCTGGAGCTTTGGAGTATGCCTGGGCACATTTTAAAATCTGTGGTAGGACAATTTTCTTAACTGCTGCTCTATCAAAGTCATTACCTCTGTTCTCAGTCCAGCAATCACACTCTATGGAATCTTTTGGAAACCTAAAAGTGCATTATTAGCAGTTAGGATTATTGGCAGTACTGGAGATAACTGCAACCCCTTTGGTTTGCACAATCCTCCATGGTCTGCAGAATCCTTTCTCCTGCTATCCCTTCAACCCTGCCACAAGGACAGGTCGGCACTACTGCTTCACCGAGCCAGTGGGAAAACTGAAGCTCCAAGAGACCGAGGAAGCCGAGCGGATCTCCGAATTCTCATAACTGCTAACTCACCACTTGCTAATCCCTGCCCTATTGCATTTACTTCACCCTTGGAATCACACGGCAGGCCACTCTTTTTTTAAGAACCATGGCATGGTGCCCCTGTAAGGAACCCTGTTCCATCAAGTCTGCTAAATAGATTGGCACAAGGCTTTGGATGTAGACACCCTGGTGCATAGACTTGAGGACACGTCCCGTCTTTCTACACACAACAGTGATGTGCTCTCTCTTACTTTTTCTTTCAAGATTTTATTTATTTATTTGAAAGGCAGAGCTGGAGAAAGAGAGAGAAAGAGAGAGAGAGATCCTCCATCCACTGGCTCACTCCCCAAATGGCTGCAATGGCTAGAGCCAGGCCAATTTGAAGCCTGGAACCAGGATCCTCCCCTGGGCCTCCCACACAGGTGCAGGGGCCCAAGGAATTGGGCCATCCTCCATTGCCCTCCCAGACCATAGCAGAGTGCCAGATCAGAAGTGGAACCGTCAGGACCCAAACGGGTGCCCACTGGGATGCCTGCACTGCTAGCACCGGCCCCTTTGATGTGCTCCTTTACAAAATGTCAATCAGAATACATCACTTGCTTGCTTAGGAACCTCTAATGCCCTCCCATTGTATTGCAACATTTGCAGAAAAT